AGAAACACTTCATATATAAAAGATATTTACACACTAACAAAATATAAACCCATAAAACCTTATCACACATAAACACATAGTAAATAACACACAAATATAAATAAATATATAAATTAAGAAAAATATATAAATTAGAAACTTAACAAATACTTTATTTTTGCAATATTTGTTTTATACCTCGTAATACCTCGTAATAAATGTTTACCTCGTAGTACCTCGTAATAAATGTTTAACAAAACAAACAATCAAACAATATGGTTTTTTATAAATATATATAAAAGCAAACAGATTTTTTTTTTGTCTTTAAAATAAGGTATTAAACGATCTTGTTCTTTAACATGTAATATATTGTTGACTGTGAGATGCAAGGGTTTCGGAGATTAACACTAACTTAATCAAGAGTTTGACCTCTTGCTCCTTGAAAATAGCATTGTCTTCTAGAGTCATCATCGTCTTCTAATTTAAAAATTACAGATTAATATACTTTAATACAATTGACAAAGGACTTGAATTGTGTTATTAATATAATGCATGACTTAAATAAATTACCTGACTTTAAAAGTTTCTTTACTAATTTAAAAATAACATAAGTTTCATCATTTACTACAGAAGTTATCAGATGACAATTGTTGATCTTATTACTAATTAAGCTAATGAAGCAAAGTTTTCGATCGTATTACTGATTAAGCAGATATTAACAGATTATTAAGATTTGAGAGTGCCTCATCGCTTGAGTTCAAAAGTATAATGAGAAGATGCATGCTAAATCCTATTTATAATAAATGGTAAAAAAGTCTGTGTAAATGCACACGAATGGGCAGCAGCAGCAGCAGCGGCAGCATTTTATAAAACTTTTATTCAAAACAACATTAATTTATAACAACATTTATTTAAAACAACAGATTAATTTAAAACAACAAATTGATTTAAAAAAATACTGATTAAAGTAGAAAAACAATCTTTATTCAGGTTGCCTAACTTGCTGAGTTTAATTTTTCTGTAATATTTTAATGAAAAAGAGCTAATAGTTTTATTTCAAAGAAAATAGAAATCAAATGATATTTAGAGAAAATATTTAACCTTTTCTAGCATTATTGGCTTAAACTCAAAAAAGTAGAGATGATATTTACTTTTTTGGTATTTGTTCATTATAAATTAAATACATTTTCAACTATGGAGTTGCACCTTACTTTAAAGAACTTTTAAAAGTGCAAGTCAAAGTGCCACTTCAACAGTCTTACTTACGAGAATATATGATTGTTTATCTGCTTTGGATTTATCTAAATAAGTACAACTATCAATGTATGGTCCGAATGTGAACTAGATAGAAGAAGGTTCTCATGGAAAAGCAATTGGATAGAGAAAAAGCTGGTTTAAGTAAACTAGTAAACATTGTATTATAAATCATTTTAGGTTTATCGAGGGTCAACAGGTGTCACCACGACTCAAGAAGATATGGCGAAATATAAAAAGGTAGTTTTTGGAAGAACCTACCAACTTTTAAAAGGCAATCATTTCAGAGTTATTTGACTCTCTTTTTTAATAGTTATTTGAAAAACAGTTGAAGATGAACTACTTGTAGGCTTTTATTTTTCTGCTATATCGCAAACCTTTTTCAGCCTTATCTTAGAAAATATAAAACCTTTTTTATTATAAAAACTAACTTTTTAATTAAGATTTTTAAATAAAACTTTTTAAACAGTTGTGAAGTCTAAATAAATAAAAGCCTCTAATTAAAAAACATATATGATCAGTCATATATGCTTTTTTATTATATATGTGAATGTCAATGCAAGTCTATGTGATTATTTTTTTTTCATATTGAATGTCAATGCATGCCAATGTTTTTCTTCTATAAACTATTTATAATTCTGTGTGCAAAAGGAAAAGGGAGATGATTCACAAAATGTCAAAAATGGGTTATACGGCATTCGAATAATAATATTAATAAGTATCAGGGAAAAAAGTATCAATTTAAAATATTTCCTCAAAAAATGAGCACTCGATTTATTAAACAAAGCTTGAAATCGCACTTTTTTAAAATGTTGCAACTACGCCAATTTTATATTGCTTCTGCTATAAAGTGACATTTTATGGCTCATCTCGCTTTTCCTTTTGCAAACAAAATTATTACTATTATATATATTACGGAAAAATTAACGAGTCAGGGGGAAAAGGGTAGTTTTTTTTAATAAGTCAGGGGGAATAGGTTGGTTTTCAGAAAAAATGTCAGAGAAATTACATGTGTTTTTGAGTTAACCCAGTGAGCACAGACGTAAAAAAGACGTCTTTTAAACGACATATATTTGTTTTAGACTCTTTTGAACGTTCAAAAGACGTCTTTTTTAGGTCCGGTGCCCACTGGGAAGGAAAAGAAATCTTTAATCGAGAACCTGTGTAAACCCTGTCTGATTGTAAAAAAAAATAATTCATCTCATTGATAATAGTCTTTAAATTAAAGGGATTTGATTTATTAATCCTTTTATCACGTTATTGAAAATTTATTATTTCCTGTTATGATATTTTGAAAATATCATATGAGTAAATATTATAAATTATTAAAGATAGATTTTATATGGTTCCTAAAACGGTCATGGCAAGCGATAAGTATTTTCGCAGGTTGTTTTAAATATTTAAATAAAAAAGCCCACTTTTGGCTTAACATAATTAAAAATTGTTAATATTTTTAAGTTGGCTATTTTGTAGAACTGCAGCCGTATTCTCATCTCTCCGCAGCGTATTCTCACCTCTCCGCAGCCGTATCTCTCCGTTAAGCTTAACGGAGCTTTTGTCCGAAATTTCTTACAATGTTTCTAAGTAAAGAAATGACGAAAACCTTATTTAAATTTTTTAAAATAAAACTAATACTAAAATAAAACATTTATTTTTAAAAAAATTATATTTTTAAAGAACTTTATTTTTTAATGTAGTTAAAAAGAAAACTTTTACTAACGCTCCGTTGAGCTTAACGGAGAGATAATGATAACGGCCCCTGCTTGGCAAACATTTTTGTGTTTTTTTAAACAGTGAATATATATTAAAAAAAAAAATTTTTGTAAAGCTTCTTCAGAATTTATCGAGTGAATCGAGATGCTAAATTTCATATTTTTACTATTTAAAGTAATACCGAATAACTTTGAAATAGTAATGTTACTAGTTTTTTGTTCAAACAACTAAACAATATCGTAAGTAAATTCCTTTTATTCGCATTGCTATCAATCGCTTTTTTTTCTAGACATGCTAATTCAATAATTTACAGTAATTTAAAAAAAGTAAGTTTAAATAAGAAATAAAAATATTGAAGTTATTTCCTATATAAAAATAAAACGATAAATAATTTGTATTATTATTATTAGTAGTATTGTTGCTACTGTTGTTGCTGCTGTTAAGTCTGTAGTAAAATATATTATTTAATCATTTTTAATCCATGAACAAAATTATTTTAAAAATTTGATAATTTTAAAGACTCGTGACAAGGTTCTAACGTAATGACGTGACGTTATATTAGTTCAAAATGTAATTTAAAAAACTATTACGATTTTCAAATTTTCATGCTAATGATTTTACTGCCAATTATTTTCATGCTAATGGCTTTACTTGTCAAAAATTATTTTTAAGATATTTAATTGCGTGAACATTTCTTGTCTATGTAATTTAAAATTATTCTTTACTATTTCTCAGCTTTACTTTGGTTAACGAATATATACTGTTTTTTTTTTCACAAGAACCTTTGTTTTTGTTTATTTAAGGTAACGGAGATAACGATACGTCTGACACTATGATTCATCATAATACACAAAAGATGTCTTCTACTGTTCGTTTAACAGAAAAAACTTTTAGCAAAACTGAAACAGAAGAAGTAGAATGCATATGTTGGAAAAAACCGCTGATTGATCAAGTCACAATCACTGACGTCACACTAAATGGATTAACAGCAACTTTCACAGAAGCTTCAACAGACCAAGGTTTTTTTGCATGAAATATTATTACAAAGAAATCTCATAAGTAATTCAGGGATCATGTTCAGCTATTTATTATTAATATTTTGCTGTTTTGGATGTCTAGTTGGCTTTAAATACGCATTTTATAGTTGAGTTCCTTATTTGTTATTAATTATGAGTAATCTACCAATTCCAACGAATAATGATAGATAACCCAACGATGTAATATTACGATGTTGTGTATATATTATAGTATCTATTAGCGTGTGTAATATATTTTCTGTATTGTTTGCGTTATGTGTAATATGAAATAAACCAAGATCAAAACAAAATGAAGCTTTTATATTTAACAGTTATCACTAGAATCCAAACTCCCTTTACAGTTATTGTATATATTTCATGCAGTGATGTAGTATCTTCTTTTTTGAAATAGTTCATTCCATATAGCAGTCGAAAGATACATCTTTGATGTGCGTTGCACGATTTTATCTCGAGGTGCCATTACAATTTTTGCCGACTAAAAAAAAAAATTCTTGAAATTTTTGAAATTAGCCGATTGACGTATCGAAAGGGTCGACTCACGACCGACTAAATAAACAAATAATTCATTTATGGGGGGGGGGGGGGGGGGGTATCCTCTTTTCGCGCCAGTGTTGCGTAAGTTTTTCCCCTATATTTTTTTCTGCCCGGAAAGTATGTACCGGGACAAAACCGGAGAGGAAAATTTGTCAATATTTTTTACTGACGGGGATAAAATATTTCTTCCCCGTCAGTAATAAATGTTCCTCCGATATAAATTTGGCTGAAACTTTTTCTCTTTTTGATAAAAAAATGTGTACTTATTGTTACGGTAATTTGATTATTAAATAACATGCCTTAACATCTATTCTAAGAAACGTTGATATGCGTGGCGGTGCTCAATGTGAAATTTTCACATGGTTCCCAACATTTTATTAAAAAAAAACAGAACCAAATAAAATAAAACCACAATTTAGCAGTACCAGCTGTATTTTTACAGTATTATTCAGTTTTACCTTTTTTTGTACTGCACAACATATTTTACATTTTTAATTAATAATAACTATTGTTTTGTATTTTTTACTAACAACTGTTCTAAATGTTAATAATTTCCATTGGTTTTTTGCGTTCACGTTTACGTAATACGGTTTTTACTCATCATTATTCTAATTGAAGGCTACAGGCTTACTTTATTCCGTTTTTCACTCCATCTTTTTAAGTTGATACCGTTACTTGTTTCAATGTTATTTTTTTATTTTGCAACCGATAAACTCCTTTGTCCAAAACCTCTATTATGGTGTAAGGGCCGTGGAATCTTTGAGCTTACATATCACCCATTTGTGTGTATTTTCGTCTGTTACATTTCAAAACTTTGTCGCCAACTGCAAATGATTGACTTGAATGTTTAATATCGTAACGTTTCTTCTGCAGATTTTGTGCCATTGCGATTCTCGTTTTAGCTGCGTTTCTTTTCGCACCAATTTTTTCAGCGAACTCTTCCATTCGTAATCCTTGTTCGGCTTCGTCAATTCGTTAATTTTGGTATCCTACTGAAAAAACTCTCCGGTTTTCGTCCGGTTTTCTAAATCAATTGGAATCTGAGCTTTAACTCTATACATCATTTCAAAGTGAGAGTATTTTGTAGAAGTTTGTTTATTTATTCGATGTGCAAAAACCACCGGGTCCAGTAGTTCATCCCAGTCGTTTGCTTCGTTGTTTACAAGCTTCATTAAATGGGTAACCAATGTTTGGTTAAACCTATTGTGCAGAATAAATAAATAAACTATACTAGGTAACTATAGTTATTGTTGTATTGAAAGCTAATAATTAATGCCCCTTTTTAAAACTAAAAACAAATTTTAAAGTTAATTTTAAAACTGTAAAAAGATTAAAAAAAAAAGTATAACCATTTATCACCTTTCTGTCAGTCCATTAGTCTGAAGATGATATGCTGATGTTTTGGCGGATTACATGTTTAATATCAATAAAAGATCTTCCACGAGCTTATTAGAAACCTCGCGTCCTTGATTGTGAAGTAGAATGTTGCGAGCCCCAAATCTGAATACCAGACGGAGAATGAAACAATGAACAGAATCGTCGCATGCTATGGTTTGTTGTTAGAATTTGCACGTTGACATTCAGGACAGGATGCTACAATTTTGCCTAACCCTAACCCTAGCCCTAACCCTGACTTGTTTTCGATTTAATAAACATGTTTTAGGAAGCTTTAAATCCGGCTATTAAGTTCTATGCTTTCATAGTATTTAAAAGTGTTTTTTTGGGATTGAACCCAGGGTTCTTGATTTTCTTCGCAATCCAAAAAATTGATTACAGTATCAATATAAAAAAAGAGAAATAACTAAGTTACTGCAATTATCTGGGTGCCCTATAAACATCATTTTTTTTTTTTTTGCTTGTCATCAATTAGTTATATTGCATAAACAACTTTTTTTCTAACGAGCGTGCTGATTTTTTACGGTTTATTAAAGTGGCACTTGGGTAAAAAACTAAAATTCTTTATTTCTAGCAATGTTAACTTGTCAATTTTATGCAATAATTGCATACATGTAACAAGGACTAGAGAAGAATAAGCATTGAAAAATTCTCATGTAAAGCGTTCTTGTATTTCAATTCTTGAAAATTGACTTTAATGGGCAGTCTATATAATTGGTTTGTTTTTTAGGACGTTAACATAAAGTTGTAAAATTTTCCGTACCGCGTTACTAGCAAGTAACAAGTTTAATATCATTTATAAAGTAAAATAAATCTTAATTACTATTTACTAGGGGTGTACCGATGCTAAAATTTTGCCGAAGCCGAATCTTCGGCCGAAGCCACTTTGCCGAAGCCAAAGCTTCGGCACTATATATGCTTAAAATTTAATCAGCATTCAGATCAGCAGGGGTGTAAAATAAAAAAGGTTCCAAAACTAAGATCCTTGACTAATAATATAGAAAAAATGTATAAAAATGAGGGCACAAGTCAGGGTTGCTGCCCCAGGCAGAGCAAAAGCTCTCAGCGCCCCTGTTTGAAAGTTTCTCATTATGTCGTTTCTGATACTTCACCGCACCTAGTGTTTTTTTTTAAAACTTAATTTTTTTTGAAACATTCTCCCAAAATTTTCCTTCTTCTAGTTCTACTTTTTCTGTGTGCAAACCATATTAATGTTATATAGTCCACAATATCAGTAACTCACATATATTTCCAACTATTCCCAATATTCTTCTAAGATTATTGCTATTTTTTTGATCTTTTGTAGCCATACTGTTCTTCTATGTAAACATCGTTTTTTTTTAACCCTCTATCTAATCATCTAATTTTTAATCCTCTATTTGATCATCTTGTTTGCTCTATCTAATTATCGTGTGCTAGCTGAACATCCTCAAGTTTTATTCCCCATAAATTACTGTTACGCATCTTTTCATGTGCTGTATATTTTATTTTTATTTCTAATGCACCTTTTGTTAAGAGTGGATGAAAATCTCTGAATATTACTCAAGTAAATTTATCTTTTACACTTGAACACTCTTTCTCTAAATAAACACTCTTAGCTGATCTAGTTGTATCTACAACATAAAAAATCTTACAAACACACTTTATCTTTTTATTGCTATTTATTTCAATATCTTTTTTTACTTCTCTGTATTCATTAAACGAACAACTTCTAAACTAAAAAAAAACCCAAGTTAAGACCATTTTGTATTCCACTACAACTGTTGTGAACCTGCTGCTAAAAAAAAGTACAATTGATAGATTTCTCTCTAACTTCTTTTTTACACACTTTTAAGTTGTTGTTTTTTTTTTTTTATTATTTTTAATTTTACACTACATAACATTTTCTTAAGCTTCTATTAATCTTTTACACTCTGAAATTATAGGATTCATTCTTCTTCTGTCTGTGTAATGGATAAGTCTGTATCAATATCTGAAATCAAATATTAACTATCTGTGACAAAAACTTCTATAGTAATCTAACAACTCAGTAGAGTGAGCTTTAAATAAAATAATAAATAGAATACTTTATAAATTTTTTATTTATAATTATATTATTATTTACTTTATATTTATAAATAAACAGGGACTGAGCAGGCTGATATTTATTTGATTTAAATTGTTTATTTAATTTAAATAAATTTTGATGATAAATATAAGAGCTCAAAGTAATCAAAGCTTTAACCTTTAATTTATTTTAAATAAGATTTAAAAGTCTTCATATCATAAGAAGAAACCAGAATATAAGTTTATATGTTTAATATATAAATTCAATTTAGAAGTATTCATAATATTAATAAAAGAGCAAGGATAATTATTATCATTGTTTTTCTTTTTCTTTTAATTTATATAGTTTTGGTTGACTTTTTTTTTCTTTTTTTATTCTCCTCATTTATATTTCATTTGCTTTTCTTTCTTTTTTGTTGTTGAGAACTTTATGTTTTTTATGTGTCACTCCATTGACTAGTTTGTAACTATATAACCAATGTAATGTTTGTGACACCTAACCAATTTCTGTAATCTTACAATGAAAATTTGTAAATTTTTATTATTATGGTTAAAAAAAAATTAAAAAAAATTAAACATAAACAGAATTTAAAATAGTAGCAAAGTATCTTTAATCTTCTTTAAAGTGAGATTACTAAGGTTTATAGGTCAAATGTTGAAACCAATTTTTGTTCTATTTTCGGTAATCCCACACAAAAATTTATATAAATTCGTTACATAACACAAATTAAGGTTTTTTTTCCATTTTATTTTTAAAAAGTTTTAATTTGTTTTAAATTATAAGGTTTTTATTCTGCATAAAAATGCTGATTCAGTTCATCTAAAGTTACACTTGGAAGCCTTCAAAGTGTATGAGGACCTTCCTTAATTTTACTATTATATTCAAAATATTTCTAATTATTTATTATCATCCCCTCCATAACAAGACATTTGGGAGTAAATAATACTAAGTATATGAGATAGACTCCAACTTTAACTCTGTAGTCCTGAATTTACAACTTAATTAGACACTGGCAATTAGCATATTTTTATAACTTGTACAACAGTAGCTTATAACTTTAATTACATAAAATTTTTTGCCGAAGCCAAAGATTCGGCAAAAAATTGACCTGGCTTCGGCCAAACCGAAGCTTCGGCAAAATTGCCGAAGCTTCGGCATGCCGAAGCCGAAGCCGAAGCTTCGGTACATCCCTACTATTTACTAAAAAATGTCAAAAAGTACCTTTTTTAAAAAAATCACCATTTACTATTAATGACGCTGTAGGGGCAGTTTTAAACTTTGTAAACACCTTTGATTCGTTTTTCAAATATCTCA